GGAAAAGCCCGCTAAGATATCCTAGGAAAAAATTAAGGCACCCGCTAGACCGAAAACCCCAAAAGGGAGGTCTAGGCAAAAGATAAGGCTAAACCAAAAAATGAATAAAAGAGAGGGGTACTTCATCATAATCATGAAAGTCCAGCAGGAGAATGTCAATCACTCTTCTAGATGCATCAATCAAAAAGAATAGATTGCATTTAGGGCATCCACACACAAGTAGTCGCACAAAACGACTTTGTCAATATCAAAAATAAAAGAAATAAAAATTACTTCAGATAAAAAAAATATAAAATAAAAATAAAAAGAATTCATGCATATAAGGAGACTAGCTCCATGTTTGTGATTGAAAACAGGATCACCGAGACCGAGTCTCCAAATAATGCCCTCAAGAAAACGGAGCAAGTCGTCAATCAAGCGACTCGCCAGAATAAGAGCTTCTGAAAATCAAGAGCTCCAACTACCATCCTTCTACCCGAAAAAGAAGGCACAAGAAAGTAATAAGTCTCTAAACATTGCTCTCCCTCAAGAAAGAAGAGCGAGTTATCATAAGAAGCTTCCGTAAGCCAAAGCTCCAATCATCACCCAATAAAAGAGGGCACAATCATCGGACATCATAAAAGAAAAGCCGACGGAAAGGGTTAGTCATCTCCAAGAGGATCCCTTCCTACTCCGAAGGCAAAACAAAACACTCCTCACGGCTCGGCATTACCACTACACGAGTCATCGAGGACACTCACCCAAAGTCTCCTCCACACTCCCCAATGGAGAATAAAGGCTTCAAGAGCCCATCATCATCAACAATCAAAAGAGTCCAATCTTCATACCAACAAGGGTTCAACAAAAAAGGAAAAAAAGAAGAAAACTCTTGCATCCCCAGAGGATGTCCAAAAGAAAAGGCAACAACAGAGCAAGCCGAATAAAAATCCTTAAGTGGATCTCCAAAAATTCTACAAAAAGAAATCGAAATTCCCATCCCCGGTGGAATAAGAGCTTCACAAGTATAGCTCGCATCAACATCAATCAAGGAGCCAAGACTTCATTCCGAAAAAAAAAAGAAAATCAGATCCCCGGAAGTCAACTAATTCCCCGGTGGATCACTAAAGAAATAAAATGTCATCCCTAGTGGACCTCCCAAAATGAAGGGAAAAAGCCTGCGTGTATAAAAGAAACTAAAAAGTAAAAAGGCGCACGCATTATAAAAAAGCCGATTTCAAAATCGCGATAAAAAAGAAATAAATCGCGAAAAAATGCGAAATCAAATAAAAATCCTTACTCCCTAAGTGGATCACCTCGGAAAAAGGAAGGAATCGGAAATTCCATTCCTCCAACAAAAACAAAAGTATCGGCAAAGTCATCTCATACCAACAACATCCAACAAGGAGTCAAAACTCCATTCCCTCCGGGGGAAGTCAAAATTAGATCCCCGGGTAGGCAACCAATTCCCCGTGGATCAATAAAAAATAAAGATCATCCCCAAGTGAGCCTACCGCAAAGGCAAAACTTCATATTCATCCTCGGAATGTCATTTGCCTATGCATAGGCAAGACCCGGCAAGCAAGAGCCAACATCCCCATAAGGTAATATCGGCCTAGTCAAAGGCAAAACAAATGCAACCAAAAGTCTTCACTTCTATCGAAGCATCCGCCTACTCGGAGGCATTACCGGAAACTCAATGGATATCCGCCTACTCAAGAGGCCTCACCAAGATCAACAAATCCCCGGAGGATTCCCGCCTACCTAAGAGGCACTCATCAAAAATTCCCGACAACCCAGCAGAGTCGGATGATCACCACCAAAAATCAAAAGCAAAGATCCCCAAGCAAACAAGCAAGCTGGATGAGCACCCGCAAAATCCCCGGCACAACCCGGATGACCATTCAAAGAGGTCCAAGTACATTCACCAACACGAAATCACTCCCAAGGAGACGGCGCATGAGCTAGAGCGAGTAAGCCGCCACCATAGCCAAAGGATCAACTACCGCAAGAAGGGGCATCCGGAGGCACCAAACCGGACGAGGGTTCGTACTCGTCAACCAAGGGGTCGGCCTACCGCGTTGAAGGAACATCCCAAGGTTTTACACGGCGCATGAGCTAGAGCGATGAGCTGCCACCATCACCAAAGGGTCAGCCACCGTCATAAGGGGCATCCAGAGGTACCAAACCAGACGAGGGTTCGTACTCGTCAACCAAGGGGTCAGTTACCGCGTCGAAGGAGCATCCCAAGGTTTCATGCCGGCGCATGAGCTAGAGCAGTAAGCCGCCACCATAGCCAAAGGATCAGCTACCGCAAGAAGGGGCATCCAGAGGCACCAAACCAGACGAGGGTTCGTACTCGTCAACCAAGGGGTCAGCTACCGCATCGAAGGAGCATCCCGAGGTTTCACGTTGGCGCATGAGCTAGAGCGAGTAAGCCGCCACCACGGCCAAAGGATCGGCTACCGCAAGATGGAGCATCCGAAGGCTTAACACCGGATGGGGGTGTGTACTCATCGAGGCCTTACAAAAGGGGCTTACCGGACGGGGGTTCATACTCGTCAAACACCGGATGGGGGTGTATACTCATCGAGGCCTTACAAAAGGGGGCTTACCGGGCGAGGGTTCATACTCGTCAAACCAAATGGGGGTTCGTACTCATCAGCCGAAGGGGTCAGCTACCGTCAGAAGGAGCATCCCAGAAGCGCACAACATTTCCCCAGAGAATCATCCAAAGACGGAGCATCTGACGGGCAACCGGGCAAGAGGGTCAACTCCTTTACCCTCCAGTCGATCACCTGGGCACAAAAGGCCGGTAGTCGACTGGTCGGGTAAAGGGGGGCAGTTGTAGACCCCAAATCTTGCCCGACCTCCAAATAAAGAGTAGAAGACCTCCTATTCGAAGATGGATGAAGCCTAAAAAGCCACTAGGAGAGACTATTAGGCCCCATGCTAGGATAGGAAGGATTTTCTGTACAAAAAATAAGGTTCCTCGCCTTTTTGGGACGAGACAGTCGTCTCGCCTCATGCAAATGGCGAGACCGCCGTCTCGCCAAACGAGACGGCAGTCTCGCCACCTGCGAATGGCGAGACGGCGGTCTCAACCCTGTCAGACGAGAACGGCGGTCTCGCCACTGTCGGGCGCGAAAACCTATAAATAGGGGCTCCCTCCCCTCATTTCCACACACCACACAACTTTTGCTCTCCCTTCTCTCTAGAACCTCTCTCTAGAATCCCTCCGACGCATTTCCGGAGTTTCGAGTGCCTTTGTGAGCGTTTTTCGGTGTCTAGAAAAGTTTCTAGCGCTGTGTAGAGTGAAGGGTTGCCACAAAGCACCCTCTTTTTTTAAAAGAAATAAAAAGAAATCTTGCTTCGGAGGTTTAAACTCTCCCTCTCCACTTTTACTTGCTTTAATTTTAAATTATGCAATAGATTAGGGCCATGTAGTCATAGTTTTAAATTCTGCAAATAAAAGGGCAAAAGCGTGTTTTTCCAGTTTATTTATTAACAAAATAGCTGGCTCTGTCATAGGGAACCCGAAAGGGCGTCATAAAGAAACTAACACTTCCTTTACACGTAACTAACTCCCTTACCCAACTCTGGTTCTAATGACCAAAGTTGGTTTTTCAAAAACCAACGCCTTTTAAACTCCTTTTCCGATGTTTACGGTAAAAACATCGGTGGCGACTCCACAGAACCCTTCAAAAATTAGTCATTGGGTTAGCCCGGTTATCGGACAACCCAAGGACGACCTTTCGAAAACCTCGCCCCTAGGTTAGCCCGGTTATCGGATAACCTAAAGGTGTTGTAACCACCCATAAAAAACGCGAAAACAAGAGGGTCGAAACCATCGCGTCGCTCCGACCGCCTTCTCTTTTTGACAGCGGCGACACTTACGATTAAAGATTCGCAATACAAAGCTTGCTACGGAGGTTCTTTTCAATTCTCTTCTCTTTTACTGCTTTATTTATTGCTTTATGTATGCAATATGAAATAAAGTCATGTAGATAGCCATTTTTAATATTATGCAATAAAATAGGGTAATCGCGTAATTTCTCGTAATCTTCACTTAAATGAATTAATCCGTCATAGGGAACCCGAAAGGGGCGTTGTGGGGTGCTAACACCTTCCCCACACGTAACTAACTCCCTTACATAACTCTGGTTATAATGGCCAAGTTTGGTTTTTATTAAAATCAACGCCTTTTTATCCTTTTCCAATGTTTACGGTCAAAACATTGGTGGCGACGCCATAAGAACCCCTTTTCGAAAACCTTGCTTTTATTAGAGGATAGTTCAGTTGTTGAGCACCTCGGAAGCAATGAACATATTTTTAACATAAAACGCGAGTCTAAACCATCTTTTCGCGACCGCTCGCATAAACGTTCGAGATGTCCCTGGACGTCGGAACGGACGGCGGCGACACTGACCCTTCAGACGATAGATGTGTGGTTAATGGGTATGAACCCCCATCCGGTTTGAAGTCCTCTTCTAAAATACTTGGTTGGAGTACCCTTTTGTAAGACTCGATGAGTATAAACCCCCCATCCAGTTTGAAGTCCTCTTCGAAAGACTTGGTCTGAGTCCCCTTCGTAAGACTCGATGAGTATAAACCCCCATCCGGTTTGAAGTCCTCTTCCGAAAGACTTGGTCGGAGTCCCCTTCCGTAAGACTCGATGAGTATAAACCCCCATCCGATTTGTAAGCGAGACGAGCCCGCTTTTGTAAGACTCTGCACGGTTTGAGGAATTCTCTTTTGTAAGACCCTCTTAATCAATCCCCTTTGGTAAGACTTGATTTGGTTTCGAACCCCCTTTTGTAAGGTTCTTATGAGTTTGAACCCCCACCGAGGTTGTAAGCCGACGAGCCCCCTTTTGTAAGACTCTGCTAGGTTTGAGGAATCCCCTTTTGTAAGACCCTCTTGATCAGTCCTCTTTTGTAAGACTTGATCCGGTTTCGAACCCCTCCTTTTGTAAGGCTCTTACTATTGATAATCTTGAGACTACAAGATACTTTTTCCGGTAGTTGATCTTGAGGCCGATGATTATGAGCCCTCATCCGGTTTTGAGTCCTTTGTTTTGGACCTAAAAATGTGCTTCGGCGTCTTACGCTTCCGGTCATGCGCCGATGATGAATGTAGATATCCACGGGTTGTTCTCTTCAACCTTGTGGTGATGAGTATGAACCCCCATCTAGTTATAGTCCTTTTTCTTGGACTAAAGCGTGTTAGCGACTTACTCGATCTCGGTCATGCTTTGGCACCATGGGGAATAATTTTTGTTTGAAGATTGTTGTGTTGACTTTTTGTTGTAGTCATCCGATGCGCCAGGGATTCTTTTATTTTTGGCTTTTACAATAGCCATCCAGCTTATTGATTGCCGGGGTTTTTTGTTTTTGGCTTTTCAGTAACCATCTGTCTTTGTTGGTTGTCGAGGGTTCTTTGATGAATGCCTTTTAGGTAGGCGGGAATTCACTAGGGATTTGTTGATTCCGATGATGCCTCCGAGTAGGCGAGATACTTCATTGAGGTTCCGGTAACGCCTCTAAGTAGCGCAGATGCTTCATTGGAAGTGAAGACTTTTGATCGCATTTGTTTTGCCTCCGACTAGGTCGATATTCCCTTCGGGGATGTTGACTCTTGCTTGCCAGGTCTTGCCTATGTGTAGGCAAATGACTTTCTGAGGATGAATTTGAAGTTTTGCCTTTATAGTAGGCTCACTAGGGATGATCTTTCTTTTTTATCGATCCACTAGGGGATTGGTTGACTTCCCGGGGATCGGATTTTGATAGCCCTTTGAGGGAATGGGGTATCGGCTCCTTAATTGATATGGGTGCGAGCTGGCTTTTATGATGCTCTTATTCCGTTGGAATTTCGATTCCTTCTTTTTCATTGATTTTTCCTTTTTCCGAGGTGACCCACTTAGGGATTTTATTGATTACCTAAAAGTTAGGCTTTTTATTTGATTTCGCCTTTTTCGCGATTTATCTCTTTTCTCGCAATTTGAAATTTGGCTTTTTCGGGATAATGCGTGTACCTTTTTACTTTTTAGTTTCTTTTATACACATAGGCTTTTTCCTTCTTTTGGGGGGTCCGCTAGGGATGAAGCTTTTTTGGTGATCCACTAAGGAATTAGTCGACTTCCGGGGATTCGATTTTTCTTTTCTAGGGATGGAGTTTTGGCTTCTTGATTGATGTTGATGCGAGCTGACCGTGTGAAGCTCTTATTCTATTGAGGGATGGGAAATTCTGATTCCTTCTTTTTGTAGACTTTTCTAGGGAGATCCACTTGGGGATTTTTATTCGACTCTACTCGTTGCGGCCCTTTCTTTTGGACATCTGTTGGAGATGAAGGGTTTTTCGTTTCTCCCTTTTTTTGTTGGAACCTGAGAATGTGGAGGCTTAGATTACATGATCATTGGTGATAGGCTTTTGTGTAGCTTTTATTCTCCTTCGATGAATGTGGTGGAGAATGGGTGAGTATGCTTGCTAACTCAAGTGATGGCAATGCTGGTCCGTGAGGAGTATTTTTGTTTTGCCTTCGGAGTAGGTAAGGATCCTCTTGAGGATGACTAAGCCTTTCCATCGGCTTTTCCATTGTTGATTATGCCCTCCCTTTATTGGGTAGAAGGATAGCGATTGGAGCTTTGACTTCCGGAAGCTCTTATTTTCCTGGAGTTGCTTGATTATTGGAGGCGACTTGCTCTACTTTCTTGAGGGAGAGTATTATTTGGAGACTCGTTTTTGGCACTTCCTGTCTTTCAATCACAAACATGAAGCTAGCCTCCTTATATGCATGAATTTTGTTTTTGTTATTTACTTGGAGAGATTTGTTATTTTTTATTTTTTATTTTGACGAGTCGTATTGTGCAACTATTTGTGTGTGAATGCCCTAAATGCGGTCTATTCTTTTATGAGATGCATCTAGAAAAGTGACCAGTATTCTCTTGTTGGACTTTTATGATTATGTTGATGGGCTCTTCTTTTATTCATTTTCTTTTTATTAAGCCCTATCTTTTGCCTAGACCGCCCTTTTGGGATTTTTGGTCTAGCGGGCTACCTTAATTTTGCCTAGGATATCTTGGTGGGCTTTTTCCATTTTATGAGTGCCTAAACCGCCCTTTGCGGGTTTTCAATCTAGTAGGTTGCCCTAATTTTTGCCTAAGAATCTCCTATTAGGCATCATTCTTTTTATCTTTATTTTTCTTTTTCTTTTTTCAATGCTTCCTTGTTTATGATGCATGAAAAGACCTTGACAAAATGACTTTGCACATATTTATGATTTATCAATGTAGAGGCAATTTCATAAACTGGTCAAGAGAAATGAAATGAATGAGAATTTTATTGATATGTATGAGCAAAGGTTTATTATTTTCACGAAGGATTACAAATGAAATTTAGAAGAATGGTCGGCCCGGGTTGGCTACACCTGTATGGGCTTCAACAATCATATCTTATGATATCTGCCCCCTGGTTCTCCTAATTTCCTTAGTTGAGATGCTCGAGCCGGAGTGAAGACTATACAAGGTTGCTTGCTTTTGGAAGGGTGTGACCTTAGCCGCCATTCGATTTTCGACTAAGGCAACCATTGCTCTTTAGGGGATTTTTCTTTCTTCTCTTCTTCCCTTTTTCTTCTTTCTTCCTTTTTTTTGGAGAAGCCTCTAAATTTTTCCTATGACGTATCCTAGCGAGGTGAGTGGACCTTAACTTTTGCCCAGGATGCCCTTTGCGAGGTTTTCATCCTGGCGGGTCATGAGCAATGCCCTTCAAGCATAATACTTCTTCACCATATCGGAGTTGACCGGGTGTCGAAGTTCTTTTTTATCCATGTTAGTGAGGGTAAGAGTTCTTCCCGAGAAAACTCGTTTAATCGCAATTTGCCACCCATTTTCCTATTTTGTCTTTTTGGGACTGGAAGCAATTTGTTTACCATGAAATTCCCCCTCATGGTAAATATGGGGGTTGACCTTGTTTTGTCTTAGGCCCTTTGATCTTCTCTTGGTGGGCTTGTCCTTGACATATGAGGTCTAACCGTTCTTCTTCGATTAAGTTTGAGTGGTTGCATCGACTTTGGACCCACTAAGCTTTTATCGGTTTTGCTTCCATGATAACTCATCAAGGAAGGTATCTCGACCTCTTTTGGGAGTACGGACTCCATGCATATACGGGGAAAATGGAGTGGCTCCTGTGGAGGACCGTACGGAACTTTGATAACCATGAAGGGCAAAAGGCGATATTTCATGCCAATCTTTGCGGGTTTTGACCATCTTCCGGATGGTCTTCTTGATGTTCTAATTGGTTGCCTCTACTGCACCCTTCATCTTAGGTTGGTAGGGAGAGGACCTATGATGTTGGATTTTGATGTCTTGGCATGTTATGGTAAGACCATGTACATGCGTCCATATACTCCCTTAATTTTTGTGCTAACCCATCCTTGATGTTATCAATGATTTGAGTATCAATACTTATTTCTTTTTCTCTTTCCTCCAAATCGATTGTTAGAAAAGGAGGCTGAGATCAAGAGGGGGAGTGAATTGATCTTTGAAATATTTTCGCAAATTACAGATTATCTATTTCAAAGATTAAGAGTTCGACCAATTCTTGAATCAAACAAAACAAACAATAATAATAAAGACAACAACAAAATTAAAGAGAGAAAGGTTTAGAGAGATACAACCAAGATTTATACTTGGTTCACCCAATCCTAGTGCTACGTCCAGTTCCGACCAAATTCCAGCTGAGTTCCACTAGATTGAATGTTTTACAGATTACAACTTCAATCACACACCCAATCTACCACAAGAACCAAAATTCCAGTCCTTGCCCTAAACCTTCACCAAGAACCAACTTCCAGTTCTTGAACTACCCCGTAGCCAAATTCCGACCACGTAAACCGAGTGCCCACACTTCTAGACACCCACAATACGAGTAATGAAATATAAAAGAAACAAAGAGAAGAAACTAGAACACTCAAACCCCGATTATGCTTGCTCTGCGAGAATGAGTTTCTTCACAAAAGAAATGCGAGAAAATGCCTCAAGAAAGAACTTTGAAAATCTTCACAAAACTTGCGTGATTCTTTCTTGAAAGTAACTCTTATGATTTCTTGATTGATTGCTGAAAGGTATATTTTAAAATACTCAAGCAATCCTGTTTATATAGAGAATTGTTCTAACTTCTGGTTTAATTAATCTGTTAAAACAATCTTTTAATCTGTTAAAAGTCTTGAATTAATCTGTTAAAACTTCTTTTAATCTGTTAAAATGTTCTTGATCATTTTTTAGATTTGTTTTAACTAATCTTTGTAAAAAATCCCTTAAGTTGTTTTAATCGATTAATTCGCCTTTTAATCAATTAAAATACTTGCCAAATGTTTTCATAAAACTTTCTAAGTGATTTTAACCGATAATGATCTGTTTTAATCGATTAAAACACTTTAGAAAAATCTATTAGTTGTTTTAATCGATTAATTCATATTTTAATCGATTAAAATCTGTCAAATAGTTTCATAAAACTTTCTAAGTCATTTTAACTGATAACACATCAATTAAAATTACATAGAACTTCTTTCAAAAACTTTCAAGTGGTTTTAATCGATTAATTCACATTTACATCGATTAAAATATCTGACTGAACATATTTCAAAATACTTCAAGTTATTTGAATCGATTATTTCGAGTTTGTATCGATTAAAATATTGCCAAAACACTTTTCAAAACATCTAAAGTCATTTTAATCGATTATTTCGATTCTACATCGGTTAAAATATCGGCAAAAGGTTTTCAAAAACTCCTTTAATGAAAACAATCGATTAATTCGAAGATATATCGATTAAAACAGTTCCAATGTATGTTTTAAAAGATTTTAATCGATTATTTCGAAAACCTATCGATTAAAAACCTGTTATGTAAGTGTTAAGAACATTTTAATTGATAAAGCTCATATAATATCAGTTAAAACAATTACTTAAAAACCATTTAACCGATTACTTTGGTTTTTAACAGATTAAACACATTTAGAGGCATTTGCAAAATCTTTTAAATGATGAAACCTCATGCAGCAGAGAGATATGAATGATTATACCTATATATAGATGCAAAATCACTAATCATTCTACCCTTTTAACCAAGTAACCTTTGACTACAACAGAATAGCCTTTGACTTTATTTTGACTTCATCAAATCAACAAGATCTTCGTTTAATCAAATGATTCAATAAGATCTTCATCACTTTCATCGATGGCCTTGATTTCTTCTTTGTAGGGCTATATGTATTAAGCTTATTTTATTAGCGACCTTTACATATCCGTGTTAGTATCGCTGCAGTGAATGTTTGCGTTTCCAGACAAAAACCTCGAAAGAGTTGAAGATCTTAATTGAATCATTTGATTAAAAGAAGATCTTGTTGATTTGATGAAGTCAAAAGGCAATTTTGATGAAGTCAAAGGTTACTTGGTCAAAAGGGTAGAGTGATTAGTGAGTCCGCATCCATACATAGGTATTATCATTCATATCTCTCCGTTGCATGAGGTTTCTTCATTTCAAAGATTTTGCAAATGCCTCTAAAAGTGTTTAAACTGTTAAAAACAAAGTAATTTGTTAAAAGGTTTTT